TTATCATCATGATAGTATAATACAAGCAATTTCCCACTGAACTCGTTTCAATTTTTATCTCTGATCAAATTTGCTTCTTGTGATTTGATTTGACTCATTGTTTCAATTACTGATTATATCCTGGTTTACCACTCGTAGTTGAGAATGTGTGCTGGTACATTTTTTCTTTAATGACTCATCGTGTTTAATAATTTTATCATCATTATGGACTTATTGCGACCGATATAATAGAAGAATATAACCGATAATATTACCAGATTGAATAGCATTGCATTGTTGCGGAAGATAATAGATACGAAGAAATACTATCAACTTTGCGTAACTATAAATTGTATTTAACCGTTTTACTAATTTTGTCAAATTTGCGTTAAGTTTCTTTATATATACATTGAGAGTAACCTAGTAATAAAGTTGAAATGTATTTTCTAAGAATTTGAAATATATAAAAATCTGGCTTGTAACCTCGTCTTGTTATTTATGTTTGTTTATTATTATTGAGCCATTATATGATTGTCTTTAAGTAATTTGTATTGAAATATAATTAAAATTTTTGGTTCAATAATAAATAAAATAATATATATATTGAGTAAAAATGTTCTAATTTTAATAAATATTTATTTTAATAATGCCAACTAAACATTTACTTACAGTAAATAAATATTTGCTTAATTAAAAGAAAAAATAATTAAATCAAATTATGGTTTCTGTACCAAATGTATCTTTATATTTAGTAAATATTTAGTTGGCACTATTCAAACAAACAATTTATTAAAATTAGTATTTTATCAGTGTATAAATTTATAAACATACGAGTGGACACACACACACAAGAAGGGGCATCCACGTTAAAAATCTCTCTTCATCGTACGAGGTCTACTGAATGTAGACTCCAACGACCGGGTCACCGATTGCAGCTGCGATTTTTGCATCAAGTATAATGTTGCTGATGCAACAGAGGCACAACTGTCTACTAAAAAGTTCCCGCATACGTGCGCCGAAATTGTCCAACTGTAGAGTCATATCTACTAGCGAGCGAGTGGCAAGGACACGTGAAAGTATAATCGTCGATCTTTGCCAAACCGGACAGTACAAAACAGTGGGATAAAAAAAAAGAGAAAACAAAAAGGAAAGAATTAAAAGAAGGATCAGGCGAATCGGATCGAACGAGGAGCGTGGAGGAAAGCGAAGGAGGCAGGAGGTGGAACGGCGGACCAGATATACAGGGTCGTATACGCGCGAAGAAGTGGGTCGAGAGTTCACAGGCCGGATAATTAAATTCCTCACCGAAGAAAGCGTTTTCCCTCTCGTTTAGCCATCACCCCCCGCCTTTCCCCTTTTCCACCCCCCGAGGCAAAGAATGGGAGCCGGACGTATTGGCCGACACGCTACGTTACTAAACTAGCCGTAATGGACTTCCTCCTCCATTAGACGCCTACAAATCTCCCACCGTCGTGAATATTTAACAGACCGAGTTCCCTTTTAATTACGTTTTGGATGTCGATTAGTTTAAACCGCGATCACGAGTTTGAGACCTGTAGGGCGAATTTCACTACTGTCGTACTTCGTGAGTTGCTAGAATAAGTCTGGATTGCGGAAGTCAGACGCGTCAATTAAGCTAGCTGAAGCAATCCTGGCTGAAGCTGTTCTCCACGCGTTAATTTCAAAATGCAATTTGTCATAGGTCGGCGTACGATCAAAAGGCATCTGGCGTTACATGAAATCATTATCGTTTAAAATCGCCGGGAGGATATTGGCGCAGCGTTCCTTTCCTTTGACCGGGCAAGTGCAGTTAATGCACCGGGAATACTTTAATTTTATGCTACAACGCGCAGCCGTATGTTGGCGCATGCAAGACGAAGAGGATCGATGATTACGTCTATCCGAACGCACGGAAGCTTCATCGCGCGGATGATACAATGATGGCGAACCGCGTACTTTTCTTCCTGATGTCTGAGACTCTCTTTCTGCGACCAAGAGCCAACAGTTCTACCGGATGATTGTGCAGTCCGTCGTTCGGTCTCATCCTTACAAAATAGCCTTACAGATATAGCAAATTATTTCTTCCAGTCGACATGTCACAACTTTTCTCCAATGTATTATCGCCTACGTGAAATATATCTATCGTAAAATATCGCTGGGTGCTTGTCTTAATTAATTCCTACTTTTTATTATTGTACTAATTGCCTATACGCTGAAAACTAGCTGAGAACATATTATAAGGGGTATAAGTATTTCAATTATGAGTAAGGTTAATATCTTACTCATAATTGAAATACAAAGCAATCTTAGTATCAGACATCAAATTTTCATATCAAATACGTACGTGTCAAAATGAATCAATTTGAGACATTTCTTGACAAGCAAACAGGTTTAGTCATTCACTAACTATTCGATACAGGCTAATTAGCCTTATCTAAAACATTCACTGGAATATATTAACGTTCTCCGACGCAATATCAATAAAATACGCGTTGACTGACAACCTCAATTAAAATCACCATTTAAAAAAAAGAGTAGGTACGTCGAAGGGCGAAACGTGGCAATGATGTGAAAAATCTGTGATCTCAATCACACAATTCTGTTTTCATTTTATTTTAAATAAGATATACATAAATTTTTACGAAACTTAGGTAACGCTTTACCAAGCCTCTACTCGAAGAAATGCTAAAAACTGAGCAGGGGTCAATGGATCCTCTTTTTCTCTAGAAGAAGCATCATTAACTGAATCGAGAGTGACATGATTGTTGTCGCGTGACCTCAAGCACTTTGAAATTACTGCTAATTTTCTTTCAAGTGATCTATCCAATGTAGAAGAGTCCTTTGGTTATTGCCGATTGCCTCAATCTGTACTGTTATGTGCAGTACAGATTTTCAGTACAAGCAATTAATTTTGTAACATAGCCATAGTCGGTTCCTATACAATTTAAAATCGATAGATTAAAAATTGCACAGACTATAGACATTTCAGTTATTTATAATGCGTTTACACAATATTTATATTATTAAATTTCAAAAAAACATAAATTCATAATTTCTTTTTAGTTTTTTTAACACTAATAATGATTTATCCATTATTTACTATAATAATTTATATATTTATCAGCAAAATATTATCCATTAAGTACTGATTTAGTAAATATACCAATATCGTTGAAATTAAATAATTATATTTATATAAGTATATATAAAAAATTTATAGATAAAATAATTTTTACTTATTCAAACATGTATATAAATAAAATTAATAAACAAAATAAAATATTAAACATAGCAATGAATCATTCATCGTTTTACATACTATTACGAAAATAAGTCAACGATACATGCAAAAAAAAAAACATATTTACGGCGTAAAACAATTTACGAAAAAATGTCCAATGAGGAAATGGTTCGGTGCACATCCGGTGCTATGGACTGCGCGTGAACAATGGAAATCTGTTACGTAATATTCCGTTAAGTTCAGCTCCTGTTACATAATGTACTCTCGTAGCTTCGTCGAATAAATAATGTTTATGAACTGGAAGCTTATTATAGCATACGCGGTCATAAAGTCACAGCAACTGTAATTAACGCGTAAATATCTTTATCAATGTTTAGAACTCTCTTTTGTATTACCATGACAAAGTATATATTTGGATTTGTACTTACATGTGATGAATTTATTTATAATTAGAGAGACATTTAAAGGGGAAAATTTATCTTGCAAGATGTAACGCATGAATTCTAAATTATTTCACGCTCGTTAATTAATTCTTTTATCGCGAGAAATATTTGGCATGCGCTGGTTATATATCGTTACGAATACCGTAAATGAATACAACTGTATTAGTAGTGAAGCTAATGAATAACGTGGTGACAAGCCAAGAACTCAGTTGCGTCATTGAATATCGACCCTACCTGGCTTTCGAATATGTGATGACATCAATTTCGTTATATTATCTAGCGAAAAAAGAACTATTCACTGGCAATGGTGATCCGTCAAGGTAAAATTTTAAATAGAATGTCTTTCATAACGAACATTTTACATATTCTTGTCGCACAAAATTAATTTAACAGAATGGTACACGTACAGCACTTTATAGTGATATGTTGTAACATAATGTTGCTACATAGGCTGAGCAATGTTTACTTAGTCTCTCTTACTTAATATTAAATTGTATATTTTATTTCTAATAAAAATTAGTAGAGCTAAATACGAACCTTCTTTTCAAAATATTTTTGTAATAAAAAATTAATTTCTCTTTAAAATTGATTAAAATTATCATGATTTATGCAGATTAATTTGTAAAAGGATTGATCAAAAATTGTTAATATTTTAAGCTTTTAATCTTCGGGAAGATAAAGTTTAACAAATGAAAAATATTCTTCAAATCCAGATAAACCGTAATGTAAATACATATTCACAAAATATAAAAAAGCATTTTTAGAATGAACATTATAATTTCTCTAGCGCGATTTACAAATGTGAGCTATATTTGTATTTTACTGTTCACTATATAACCACCCACATATTAGATCCGTTTTTTATTCCTGCACTAGAACTGTCTCACTTTCCCCAAATATCAAACATATACCTATCTCATTTTAAGTTCCAAAAGTATGTACAAGTTCAGCCACAGAAAACAGATCTTAATCACGAACAAAGAAGAAATAGAAAATATAAGAGATACGTAGACCAATCGTTTACAGGACTAAAAGGCTTCTCCGTTACGACAAAGCACTCGACTAGAGAAGTCTAGGTCTAGGACGCAAGTAGGGACTAAGAGTTTAAGAGGTTAAGAGTTTCGCAAGAGAAGACTGTCCGAAATCTCGAGTACATTAGCGATCCTTCGACGAAGAGGATAGGTGGATGTTCGGAGTCTACAGAGAATAAAAGAGAGACGTACGAGGTCGAGAGGAGAGGGAGAGAATCGTCTCACAACTGAATTACTCTCACTTGAGAGGCCCCTGTCTCTTCTTCGTGGGGGCCGCATGTATATCCCCCTGCTTCTCCTGGGGGGTATAAATGACTCCGGTCTACCTTCCACGAAGTCACAGAACTGAGGCGGCATCGCAGAAGCCGACATGAATCCTCTGATCGCGGTAAGCACGTTTTTTTTCTCATACTTACGTTAAGAAGCTATATTTGTGCGAAATGGAGAGAGCAGAGGGCTGAAAAAGGAAAAAGAAAGCAAGTAAGGAAACGTGGTGCATGAGTGTACGTATGCGTGCGGATGGGAGAAATCGTGAAAGGAAGAGTGTAAGGAGTACATCAAGTGGTCGAAATCTCGATAGAAAAAGCGAGTGCTGCTTTTTTCTTAATTTTTGCATCCCTATTGTTGCTCTATTATCACCTCTGATCTTGTACATGAATTTTCGCATTAATTCGTTAATAGAAATGTTTAATATGACAGTACTTTCCTTTTTATTCGTATCTCTTTAATTTCGTACGCTCGTAAAGTAGCGACGATGACACAGAATTAAAAATTCACGATTAGCGAAAGCTACAAAATAGCATTATTTTTAATTAGATTCGTTCTGTCAGAAAAATTACTAGTCATTGATTTTTCACAATTATTCCAGTTACTGCTCGAAAAGTTCATAACAATTTATAAAATTCAAAATAACTGAGACTTAAATAAAATTTGAACAACTCAAAATTGAATAAAAAAGTCTTTAATCCGTAAGCTTTTGTCGAAATAGTAAACATTCGACTCGTAAATATGTATACTTTTATATTTTTATGTAACTTATCTTTTTTTAATTACAAGGTATATGATAATAAAATTAGGAATGGATGTATGCTTTTTTATAAATAAACTTAAGTCTGAAAGCTCTCGAAATATCTCAAAAAAATTGTAAGTCATACTTCATTAATGTAAATAAGTCCTGCATAAATAAAATATATACACCACCATAAAAAAATTAAATGTGACTTATGAAAAGCTTCTTATAATAAGCATTTTCTATAAAAGTCTGGATTTTTAAATCTTTAACATTTAGCTGAGTACTTTGAAAAACGTGATACAAGTTATAGTTTATATATATCATTTTAAATATAGATAGTAATTTATAGAATATGTAATTTGTTGCGAATCAACGGATATGTATTAGCATGTGCGTGTATATGTGTAAAATTTAGTATGTGTGTAATATAATTCGATTGCAGTTACAATTAAGAGCATATAGATATCATCAAAGGGTTAAAACAAGTCCATTGTTCTACTAAAGTAATTCCTTTCTATGTTACAGTGTATGATTGTCGGTCTGGCAGGGTTCGCCCTAGCGGAGCCGCCTGTGTCCTCCGGTTACAGTTACAACAGACCTTCCGGTGGTGGCGGCGGCGGGGGGGGGTTT